AAAGGGAGCGACGTCATCTTGCTTTGCCGGAGATGCGACCTTCAAGACATTGGAAAATGACGTTTCTATTGTGAAGGCTGTCATGTCGACAAAAGAAAGTTTCAAGCCATTTCGATTGTCGGCTAAAGTTTCGTGGTATTTATACAATGTTGTAGCACAAGCTCATCCCGGCCTATCAGGAACGAAGGGAATTGTCGTCGCCAGATTCATGATGAACCGACTTACGCGTGATTCGTACTGTTTGGGATGGAAACTGTTCCTGGATCACATGCAGACATACTGGAGAAGAGCTGTGAGTGCGCCGCAAAGTTTATGCTTAATACGCGTACCATACGTGTTCAATCTAGACCAATGCGGGATCCGGTGCATCGAAATCAGGTCAATAACTACTGACTTCGATGCCGCCGAAATAGAAGGAATTGCCCTGGCCCTTCAATCGACAATCGGAGGTTCAGCACGTATGCATGTGGAAAACATCATGATTGGTTGTACTGTTCATTTTGACAGGGATGCAAGGCGACGAGCGGCCGGACGACCGGTGAATATCAGAGATGTGTTCTATAGAACGATGATGAAAATGCGCAACTGCAGAAGCACCGTGGAAGCAAACGAGGCTCTGGTCTACGTCAGATCGCTGGACAGGTCTTGGGAAGATTGGGTACTAAAATACCCTTTCCAGACGTTGGCCATTACAGCGTTTTCAAATATGGCTGATCAAAATTTCCACACTGGATTTCAGGACACAAACATCGTTGAGAGCCAAAATAGGAGAGGACATCACATCTGTGGCGTGCAGATTAATCCAGCGATTGACGCTAAACGACGCGAAGATCTCGACAACATTTCAGTCGAAGAATCGCTTGGATTGGATAGCGGGGCTGGCGCGTACAACATCCTTCGCAAGCCACAGCGGTTTGACTCTTTGGTTGGCCCATCTGGATCGAAATCTCCGCAGCAAAAGCAGAAGAGATCCAAGTTTCTCGGTAATATCCCAGGCAGTTTCGAAAGAAAAATTAAAGCCTCCGTATCTTATTCAGACACGAAGCATAAAAGTCGGAACAGAATGAAGGGAGACTTGTTGGAAATGAAAACGATTCAGAAGAATATAGCTGAGGCAATGAACGAGATTATCGAAGAAGCTTCAGCTGTACATATGGAAAAGCTTACCGATCTGACAATGAAAGTTGAAAATGCGTTATCAGCATTTGATGCCCGAATTGAGATTCTGAGTTGCCTGAAGGAAGTAACACAGGATCTTCTCCTGCGAAAAGTTATCTCGACGTTGTTCTTGAAAATTAAAACGAGTGGCGACGATATCAAGAATGCTCAAGGCTCGGAAAAGAATGATTCTGCCGTGAACTGTAGTGATGTTGATGCTTCTGATAGAGATCTCTGAGTAGGCACGAAAGTAAAATGGTATCGAAACTTATGTGTTGAAGCTATCTGTGCTATCTTATCGATTCCCATATTTCTTCTGAAGATCACCGAGCGACGTACGGACTTTGAAAAAGCGTTTATAGATGTATAGCCCTGTTAAGAGACTGACTAAACTACCACTTCGAGTATGGAACGCCCTGTTTCATGGGTCCTATACTCATGAATTGAGTAAGCTACATGTTTTCAGGGTCGATGTTTATATGTGACCTTTGCTGAGGCGGTTAATGTGAAGTGAGCAGCAGGCAAATGTTAACTTGTTGTTTACGGAATATGTAGTGTCAACCTCATTTTGATTATCGAATACATTTTTTTGAGCGTTCGAAACTCATAATGAGTTTCGAATACCTTTTTGTGGGGGTTCGATACTCACAATGAGTTTCGGGTCCCTTTTCGGCCTTCAAAAACTCATGAGTTTTGGGTCCTTTTTTTGGAGTTTCAAAACACATGATGAGAGCACAGTATATATGTCGCCACGATCAAGAGTCTTTACCATAGAGAAACACGCACTATCTTAAAGTCGCATTAAGTATATTAAAGTTTGCAGGATGTTGCCTTCTCATTTGCGCTTTATTACTAAGTAATTTAATCTCATTAGCGCAGCGTAATCCGTGACAGGTTCACCAATAGAAGAGAATTGGACTTTACAGATCGAACGCATAAGAATTGTTAAAGCTACATCTATTTGTACGATGTACCAAAGATTGTATCGATTTTTCACTACCGAAAACAGTCCAGTTTATATCATCCAGAAGATCAAGTGCGGCACATAGGTAATATAGAGCGTCCATGCGCATGCAGCAGTGGAAATGGCATTGTCATATTGATTTGCCCAGTAGCGGGAACATGTTTACTAGAAAATTAGACGAGTGGTCAATGTTTACCAGTGGCAAGTAAATGTTTACTTGTTGACCGGTGGTCAATGTTTACCCTGTGGCAAGTAAATGTCTACTTGTTGACAGGTGGTCAATGTTTTACCCCGTGGCAAGTAAATGTTTACTTGTTGACGGATATTTGGACTGGACAGGCGGAGTGCTGTGATAGGTTGCAATACTTTGAGTTTTTCAAGAAATTCAATGGCTTCTTCTGCCTCTACTGTAATTGAATCTATTAAGAATTGTATTAAAATCACGGTGCATATCGCGTATGATAAAAACGTCCCAAAAAAACCTTCCACGACACGTGCCGCGCGTGTGCCTCGCGCTCCCCATGTGCCCCCGCACACGTGTCACGCCTCCCTTCCGCCTCGTCCTCTTCCTGCGCCGGCAATACGTGTCACGCCTTCGTTCCCCCTCGTCTTCATCCCGCTTCCCCGCCTCTTCCTCTTCCTGCCTTCCTCTTCCTGCCTTCCTCTTCCTGCCTTCCTCTTCCTGCCTTCCCGCCTCTTCCTCTTCCTCTTCCTCCATCCCCGTTCCGCACCCCCCCCCCGCCACAGGCGAGGGCGGCGGCGTTGATCGCCGTCATCAGCGCGGACAATTATTCATCGACAAGCTGCAGCACAGCCGCC